CCGTTCAAAAAATTAAAAACATATGTAAAAATGAGTATTTATTATATATATTTTTATTTTTTTCAACACATTATTTATTTTTGTCAAAAAAAAAAAATTCTAAAACTGAAACCAAAGAAAACCTAAAATTTTCTATCATCTTTTTTTTTTTTTTTTTAAAAAAAAAAAAAAAAAAAAATAGAGAGTAGAGGAAGACAAAAGGACAGTGAAAAGGCTTACAGTAGCACCAAGGATCAGTGTTTTTTTTCCTAAAATTTTCTATAGTGGTGTATTGTGTGATTGAGATTTAATATTGAAAAATTGATGTGATTTGTCATTAAATCTCAACCACACAATGCACCATTCTAAGAAACTTTAGGAAAAAAAAACTCTAGAGGATCCTTGCTCATACAGTAGTTACTGCAACTAAGTGAATAAAAACAAAAACAAAAAAAAAACAAAAAAAGAGATTGTATTAAACTAAACTAATAGTCACAAATATGATCATGGAATATTCGAGAATGCTGATTAATTTATCCGTTTCTTCAAAGGTTCAAATCACCATTACACAGTGCATATTATTCCTCTTAGAAATTTAAAATATTAAAAAAAAAAAAAAAAAACTTGTGTCAATATATTTGGTATATTATTCATCTGGGTGTATAGCTATTACCAATAAAGGCTTATTTTATTTTGAAGAATTGTCAAGAAATTCTGTATAACATATTTTAATTAATGCACTCTTTGCTTTTCTTCCCCCTTTATTAATTTTCCAAATCTTCTTGCTTTTTTCTTTCTTTGTTAACCCACTTTTTCTGTCTTCTATCCTTATTTTCCTCTAGGGGCATGACTATAATCAGCCCACCACCTTTGCTTTTAAACAAATCTTTTTAACTATTGAATATATTCATTTAAACAAATCTTTTTAACTATTGAATATATTCACGAAAAAATTTAATAATTAATTTAATAATCATAATTTCATCATATTTATTTTTTTTAAATGGACAATCTATTTAAATTATCGAAGTGGAACCCATAACAAGTAACAAGTCAAACTGGTAACACGTTTTCCTATTCCACAATAAAATATATATATATATATATTGCAGACTCTCCGGATACTCCTTTTATAAAATCCTCAATAACCATTACATTGCTCAACTAAAAATAAATAAACCAACACATTGCATTTTGATTTTGTGTTAATAACAAGTAATTCATCCTCTCCATATGACAATCCCTTATGTCTTAAAAGTAAAATCCATCAACAAAATTATAAAAACAATGGTGTTACAAACAAAATGCCCAAATACCTTTACATTTCTTTTCTGGACCATCAAGCCTTCAAAGGATCTGTTTTTTTTTTTTTTTTTTTGGGACCAGTCCAAGGTTTTGTCTCAAATGAGAAGACAATCTTCAATAGAACAATAACAGTGGATTTTAAAGTGAGTCAGTTTATAATATCTTCTTGCACATTTAAAAGTGTAAGCCTGACTCATATCAAATGCCACCTAAAAAACATGCCTTGCACTCTTTATTGACTAATTGTCTCTCACTTTATCTTTTAGGTGCCATTTGTGACTTCGAATTTCTCTTTCTTTTTTTTTTCTTTTTTTATCATTTTAGTATTTTGCCTTTAATCAGAAGGGGAATAATTGTAAGGTAAAAGAGTTCCTTCACAATAACACTCAGAGGATACCTTGAGTCTCCTACTTATTATTGCCAACTAACTCTACCGACATTCAATTAGAATACACATTTTGTATCAATATATATATATATATATATTTCACTACACACTCATATACTTGAAAAGCATAAGAAAATATTAAATATATATCGGTCATTTATTTATTTATTTATTTATTTTTTGTAACCAATCAGACAAGGGGTGCACAACTTGGGAGAGACCCAACAGATACCAAAAAAAACCCCACAACCTGAAAACCTACATAAAAATTTGGATAAATTTCACTCACTTTACATTCAATCTCACTTTACTCTGTAAATTTTTAATTGCCCCAGTCAATCCCTTATTTTTGAAGTTAAGTTGCAATTAGGCCTATTTGTATAACACCCTTACGAAAACTAACAAAGAACAACCACGTGACAGTATTAATTACACTTGGAGCCCTACACTTTCACAAAATTTTCACTTTAGTCCCTTTACTTCAGTCCTTCCATGAGGTTGATGGGGATTAGAGCTGTCAATGGATCGGATTTAATCTGAATCCGATCCGAAAATCTGAATTCATTTACAAAAAATCCGATTCGGTAACTAATTGAGGCCGAATTGTACAATATTGAGACCGATAATTAAGATCTCTTAACCCTACTTGCCTGTCAAATTATATATTTTAGACATGTTTAATGTCAATCAGGTTGGACACAGTAGGAGCATAAAATGAGTAAAAATGCAAAAATTATAGAGAAAAATGCTTTCCGCACGTGCGGCCCATTCATCGCAGCCAAACAGATCATGAAAAAATTGCACGTGCGGAACCCTCTCTGCACATGCAGTGGAATTTCCCACATGTGCGTCCGTATCTCGGGAAGTGTACCTAATGTTTTGAATGTAGGGAAAATGTGGGGAAAATAGCAGAGGTATAAAAAGATAGAAGAAAGGCTGGATTAGGGTTCTAAAAATTCCATGAGAGAAAAGAGGCTAAGGTTTGGAAAAAAGGGATTCTCAAGCTTCAAGGGCAACTTTTACGGAGGGTTCTTCTTCTACTTTTTCCCGCACCTCCATGAGTTGCTAGGCTTCTCTTTTTAGGATTTTGATGAAACCCTAACCAAGTGAATAAGATTTTCTTTTTAGTTTTCTTTTATGTAATGGTTTGAACAGTTGTATAGTATTCAAGAAGTTTTCAAATATAATTTTTTGTTATTTCTTCAAGTATTCCGCTTTTTGTGATTGTTGAATGATTTCTATGCAATGATTTTTTATTCTTTCATGTTCAATGTATGAGACGAGCTATACTACGAAGGACGAGTCGTGTTACCACCTTAGTTTAGAGCGAATGACTTGTACTACTTGAAATGATTCATGCTTATACATTGAATGTGTTAATTCTCTTTATCAATGCTTCGAGCTTGTAACTGTGAAGTATTATTTGATTTGAACCGTAACATAATTGATTTTCAAATTAAAACCATGTTTATGTAACTAGTGGTGAATTCATTATCCTAGATTTTTTTCAAAATAAGTAATTCCAATTTTACTTATTGCTAGTTTAATCTCTTAGTTTATTTTAGTTATTACTAGTTTATGAATCATCATCTTTTTAATCAAAATTGAATTAGGAATTTAACAATTAAATTAGTTTAATTTCTCGTTTGTTCCTGTAGATTGATACTTGGACTTACCATTATTCCAAGAAATTTGGTACAGTGTAATGTTTATTTTTGGTGTATGAAACAATCCATCAATAACCCGATAATCCGAACCCGTTTATTAAACAAATTGAATATGCAAAAATTCCGATCCGATCTGATCCAATAATCCGATAATCCAATCCGATTATTCTCAATTTGAAAAGAAAAAAAAAAAGAAGATCAAATTATATAAAATTGTAGCTCAATAAAAAAAATAAATGGATTGGATCAAATTATCATATCAGATATCCAAAACCATCAGATTTGGATCCGGGTGATCTATAATCGGATATGGGCTAAACGGATTCGGATCGGATTCGGATCCGATCCATTTATAGGTCTAATGGGGATAATTGAAAGATGAAAAGGCAAAGTGAACCATAAGGCCGGGCACTGGCAATGAATACCATCGTGCCAGGTCTGGAATCAGTGTTCAAGTTGGTTTTGAGGCTCGAACCCAAGTACACAAAGTTACCAGCTAAATGCTCATCAGCTAAATCATCTTTCTCAGTAAACATAAATTTCTAGAACCCTAATTATAAGAACCCATAAATTGTACCCAAAATCTCTAACCCTACCTAATGGATCCCACATCAATGAGAGAAAAGGCTGTGAATGCAGCTTTTCAGTAAAGTAGAAATGAACTCTAAACTTGATTGAGCAACAAGGACAATAATATAGCAGCATCCAGAGTAGCCCTCACTCACTCAACAGTCCGCTAAGTGGGCCTTGGCTTAGTGAGAAAATACCTTATCCAGAGTACCTCAAACATCATGTTTAACCCACGGGCTTCTAACCCAGCGACTATCACCTGCCTATCACCAGATGCGTGAGTGGTGAGAGTTGGGAGTTGGGTGGCAGTGACAAAGCTTCCTTAAATTATATACGTACAACTTACCACCTATTGCAACTGTCGCTTCGTGGTTCCCTTCCCCACCCCATTAGGAGTAGGCTAGATTATATAAAAACCGTATCTGAATCCTCATAAAAGATAAAAATAAAAAATAAAAAATAAAATCATGTCTTTAAGACAACACATCTAAACCTTTGCAAAACAGCAATAAAGTCACCGCTACGGATAACCACAAGCCCATGGAAACAATTAAAATTACAAAGTTTATTATCTTATTTTTACCTTAATTTTAATTTTTTTTTACAGTACTCACATAATGTTCAGTTGAATCCAATATCTTATGCAATTTCTTCCAACTTTCTTCACCATGGTTCCACTTGGATAGATAAAGTTAAATGAAATGATTTGAGATCAAACTTTATAAAAATATAGTAGAATTATAAATTTTTATTCTAATCTTTGTGCAGCTATAATCCTTGATATGAAGAATTTCAAACAAATCATTTCATTTCAAATCCATAAATTGAAACACAACCTAACAGATATCTGTTCAGTGTGCAAACAAAATAAAAAATAAGCAGCCTTAGTATTAGAGCCAGTTTGTGTTACCACAGCTTTTCCCATGGACATGTAAGCTACTTGGCCTTGGCTGTGGGTGCTATTAAATGGCTCTTATGATATTGACATAAAACCAAAGTTTTCTAGTGTACCTAAAAGTGAGCATGCAATGGAAATTTTTTGAGTATACATTATGTTTATGCATGCACAACCAAAGGCAAAAAGAGGAAAAGAGAAAAAGAAAACCCTGCTTTCAGAGTTTAAATTGATATAGAAAGCAAATGCCGGATAAAGTTAGGCACACCATAATAAAGGAGAAGATACATGGTCTAGCACCCAAAACTCTCAGCTACTTAACAGACACATTTGCATATATATATCTACATCCATGCATATATTTTAGTAACCTAAATGCTGTATTTTCCACTTCTTTACATGGTGAATTGCAATTTTCAATTAAGTCACATTAAAGTATAACTAACCTGGATCACTTTCTTGAGTCTCTGAATCACGCTTTCAATAGTGTCACTGGAAGTGAGCCTAGTTCACTTTTCATCTTCCCTTTGTTAAGTCAATATTATCAGAATTTGCCACGGAAGCAAGCCATTATGACACTATTTCAAAGTTAACTACAAGTCTCTGCCATAGATCCAATTCCAAAAGTCTCAAAGTCTTTTTCCATTTTTTCACACTTTGTTATGGATATTCATTATCCCCTTCGTTAGATCACGATGAGCAATATCCCATGTCCTAGCACCAGAAGGTATACTAAAATTCCCGCTCCTTTGGCCAGACGTGAAGTTTAAATGTCCATATCTTAGGCTTTGGAGTTTCAGATTGTTTCGGACAAACATGAAATCTTCCACTCTCTCCACTCCCAACCTGTTGGCTATCTCTCGACATGGAAAATCATTTTCTTGCCAACTCTCTTGACACATAGCAGCACTTGGAACCTGACTCAGAATCTTTATAGCTAGTGTTTGCAAATGAGGTGTTTCAAAACCAAAATTCTCCCACCATGCAACTGGATCCATTTTATCTCTGCAATCCACAGCATCTTCTTCCCCCAAAGATCCCTCAAGTCGACAATAAGAGCTGAGCTGCTCTCTAAGAACCCGTCTCGCAGCGCTGTCATGCTCGTATCTTTCAAGGGTGGTTTTCCAACCCCGCATTACCGTTTTATCCTTTGTCTGACCCCTTCCAAAATATCTAGGGTTCAATATGTAACCAGCAGCATGAAGAGGGGAAAACAACATATCCCACCTGCTCTCAATCAACAATTCCAGTTGATTCAATGCAATATCATCAATTCCCTTACACTTCACTGCTTCAAGTGCCTGAAACCGCCAAAAGTAGACATCACCCATGACAGATTTCTCAATGTCAAGAATTGTAAGCAATCTTACAAAAGGCTCAAACAACTGCAGCAACAAATGAGCCCTTTCCCAGAAATCGTCCCCTAAAATGGCAGACTCAATATTGCTAGTGTCCTCTGCAATAGCAACCTTCCACTGTTTCCATTCTTCACTAAGAACCACCTCTCGCAGTGCTTGCTTTAGCTCAAAAATCATCTGGACCATGCAATATGAAGGTGCAAGCTTGGCGCGAAGTGGATCAAAGCTCTCTTTCAAATTTTGAGTGGAAACACAGAAAGAAGAACGTTCATATGTCAGCATGCATTGGTCAATCCCCTTGGCACACAAGACTACAAGTTTTATCCAATCTATTTCAGCCATGTTTTCCATCAACATGTGAATAGAATGTGAAGTGCAGGGGGACCAAAATATGTGAGGAAACTTTGACAGGATTAAGGATTCAAAAGACTCGCTTGCATGGCCTAGATGTGAGATGACCTGAAGCACATTTGTGGGCCCAGCTTCAGTTATTGCATTGCTAAGGACATTGGTAAACAAAATGTCTGCACCATCGCCTTCATTTATATCTATTGTTTTCAAGAACATGAGTCCCCTTGGACTTGAGATGAAGATGTTAATACAGAAACAGCCGAGCGTTCCATCCAAACGGTTGACACAGATTATGGTGCAGGCTGTGTGAGACCAGGACTCCTTTATTAAAGTTATAGCTTTCTCCATCCTAGCTTTCTCTTTACTTAGAAAAGAATCAGACAGCTTATCTATTGATGGGGGTTCATAACTAGTGCCAAAAGCAGCAATAGCTTTAGCCATCTCATGAAAATAAGGGGAATTTACAATATTGAGATTCAAACCATCAGCATAGAAAAATCTGGCCACTATGTCATCTACGTCCTCTTTTGTGGCAGCTTTTAACACACTGGTAAGGTTTTGTTGTGGAATTTGAATGCGCTTGCCAGGCTTTCCATTTCCCGAACTTCTTTTCTTTTTCCTAGCAACTCGCTCCTCTTCTAAAGTCTGAAATGCTTCTCTCATTGACCTGTCTATTGCTGGGCAGCTTTTCACTCCTACACCTGTGAATCCAAGGAGGTGAGCTCTAACACGTGAATATGATCCATTATATCGTCGATTACAGTGATTACATTTCCACTTTTTTGTACCACTTCCCTTATCAAAACCACCAAACACACTAACATGCTTCCATCCCCACTTATCAGATTCTGATGGCATACTTCCCGACCTGTGTACAATTGACCATGACAGAAGAAAGAACAAACATGAATGTCCATTAGAATAAAACAACTCCACTGCTAGATACAGTATTCTAAACATCAGCAATTCATGACCCAATAAATTCCAGAGTATTGTGAGAATATTTTTCAACATGAAATAAACATACATTACCAGAAAAAACCTCATAAAAATGAACTCCATACTAATAGAGATTACGCAAAAAATTGTAGATCAGGAACTGTGACACAATTGAGGTTCAAGGTATATAGAGGCATCAGATATCACAATGGTTTATTCTATTTGTGCTGGTGCAATGTAGATGGGATGAAGCTGTCACAGCAGAAGTCTATACTCTCTTGCTGCCTACTATAACAAATCAGGGTATTGGTTGTTTTGTTATCCATTACTAGAGTTCTCATCTAATATTCTAAGCTAGCTTCCTTTTCTAGCTCCATTACATCCAATCCTTTGTTCTGTCCACCACATTGGATCGTCATGTGGTCTCCATAAGCATACGTGCAAGTGTGTGCCCAATGTGGTCCTAGTCTTTAGATGGATTTTTTTTTTTTGTAAAAAAATATATAAATACAAAACCAAGCCAGTCAATAAACAAGTGCACATTATTTTAATTATCAGGTGAACTATATATCCATCAATTTGAACTAACCCACAAAATTTCACATCTAAAAGAAGTGCCAGATAAAAAAATAATATATTAGCATAGGACCACACACACACACACAAAAAAAAAGTTTCAAACATCTACTTAAACTAATAACCCGTATTCTTTTTTTCTTTTGTATTCCTAGTAAAACATCATATCCTAGGACAAGGTCATGCCCTAGAGACCTGTAAATGGATTGGATTCAGATCAGATCTATCAAAATCCAAATCCGATACCGTTTATCCCATATCCGATTATAGATCACCCAAATCCGATAATTTTAGATATCCGATCCGATTCATTTAGTGTTTTTTTTTTAGCTACAATGATATATAATTTGATTTTTTTTTGTTTTTTTTTTTTCAATTTGTGTTTTCTTCATCCAAATTGAGAATAATCTGATCAGATTGGTTTTTTGCATATCTGATCCATTTAATAATCGGATTAAATAGATTCGGATTATCGGATTACTGGGTTGGCTTTTTGTAAACAGATTTGGATTTTTATGTCGGATTTGGATTAAATCCAATCCATTGACAGCCCTACCCTAGAGCAGAGTTCAATTCATCCTAAGGCCCAAGAGCTTGAACATGATTCTCCATCCTCTAAATTAGTAACAAACTAATTAATTGGCTTTTGTTTCAAAAATGAAACAAAAGCATAAAAGAAAGAAAACAAGAAAAAAAAGAAAAACTACACAGAAGCATAATAATAATTCTTCTGTAGGTTTCTGATTTAACAAAAAATTTAAAAAATTAAAAAAATCAGAAAGTAGCTTTATATTGAAAGGAAAACGCATGAACCAGATTCAACAAGACTATTGACCCCCATTATATCCCACTTCTTGGTCCCCCAAAAATGGTCCAAGTTTGTAAAATCGTCATTATCTTTTCCCATACAACTGTAAATAGACAGTAGAAAGGCAGCATCCTCACAAATCATGATATCTCACTTCTCAGTTTAAGGAAAGGTCCAAGTATGTAGAGTCCTCATTATGCTTTTGCTTACAACTGCAGGTATACAATAGGAAGGCAGCATCTCGATGATATAGGCATTTCCACACATCCCAAACAGTGCCAAAAAAGGGAAAAAGATTGTGGCTTGAATTCAAAGATACACATAGGAAGAACAAAACATGTATCCTATGTATTCAAGAGGTATTAGTATATAATTAAAATGGCTACTTGATAGAATTACTTGAGCTAGTTATGTTAATGGAAGAATTGCCAGAATAAGAATAATACTGATCTCAAAAGAACAACAATTTCAGGTTTCCCCATACCCCCAAGTAGATGACACAGATCTCTTCACCAACAACAATAATTCCACCATTTCATGCTTTTGAAAAAGTGAAGTGGGATTACATCCAGAAGTTAGATCTCATTCCTATAAATTTCCAATAGTTTTAGGTGTGATGTAAAGATAACCATACAAATTTGTCTTGTTTTGCCACCACAATTAAGAAGCATAGAAACTTTTGCAGAGAAAATGTGTCGTGTCGTGTCTGACACTGACACTCTTTGGACACTCCTAAAAAGTGTCCCACAAATTCTCCAACTTGACTTAATTAAAAATCAATTTCATAATATCGGACACTTTATTGACACATCGCAGAGCGGCGACACTTCTTAAGCCCTCTCCAAACATGTCCTAAGTGATGAATCCCTTCATAATAACAATGTTCTGCATTCTTCATAACACAACTTTTACACTTTAAATATGTTTTGAAACACCTTCCATCATGTGTATTACAATGTTGTATAATTGTTTTGCATTCTTTTGAATGAAATTATTATGTGAATGATATCTTGATGTTTAAATTAAGAAATATATAGCTTTTAAATATAATTCATATTTTGTTACATATTTTTCATTATCTTTAAATTTATTATTCATATTATGTTACATATTGGTTTGGTCCCAAGCGTGTCATCCTGCATTTTTTGAAAATCAATGTGTCAGCAAGTATGTGTCGTGTCACGTGCCCGTGTATGTGTTACTTAGGGCCAGAATCTCCAAGACAAAGTACATACCAAGTAAGAATTTCTACCAGCCATAATTACCCTACATGGTTAAGAGAACAAGCCGTGAAACCATCGATGTTAACTTTCTCCAAATAAAAGGAGATAGAATTCAAGAAAATGAAACATCATTCTGAGAGCTGTTAGTGATGCACATTGCTTTCCAATCTCTAATTAGAAAGGATAACAGAATTCCTTTGAATTCCATAGTGACCAAAGGTGAAGTAGAAACATTACAGTGGATACTTTCCAACATGGTCTCATTGTGCTCCAAGTGAACAAATAAAACCAAAGCCTCTGAGAAGAACATCAAGTTGGCCTTTCTCATACTACATATGTTTCACTTCATTCATTCCACCATCAAACATAGGATTCTCCCATTCTTTTGGAAGAAATGACACTGAAAGGACTAATCTTTTTTTCAAAAAAATAAAAAGGTAACCATATGATCCTCAAGCCCATAGAAAAATACTTGTACGGTGTGCAAACAAATGACGATGTTAACATTGAGGTACAAGCAAACAAATCCAGCAGGAGAAAAAACAAAAGCATTGGGAAAGTAACTTTCCTATCATATTTATGCAATTATTTTTTACTATGTTGAGACAGAATCTAAAAGCATGGTTATGGACATATGGGACATGGATACGACACAATACAAACACATCATCAATGAGTGTTGGAATACAGTAAGTGTCAGATATATACATGGTAGCTTCTTAGAAGTGTTGGTGTTTTTTAGATCTTCCCCTGCATGGTGTTTTGGCTTTGTGAAATTTGTCATAACATCTATTTGAATGTCTAGAAACAAGTCCAGCCATTTAAGAGAGGTGTCATGATAAACATGGTCTGTACAGACAGGAAATGCTCTTTGTAAGTCTTGTTGCCACTTACATGAGCATAACAGAAGCTAAAATCAAGATTAGTATTTAGTACAAAGCGACAAAAAAGTATTGGATACTTCTTTCCTTAATTCAGTAAACCAACTTTCCATTTGTAGATTGCAGTATTATATATTACCAGAGTCACCATCCCAGAATTGTCTATGGAAATCTGGCATTTCATCTGCAATGGGAAGGTTGAGCTATTGCTCTCAGCTGTGCTACCTTCAAAGAATCTAATTTTAGGGATCTAATTCACTCTCCTTGTAAATATTCAGACTTAGGCCTCATTTGGGAACCCTTATTTTTAGCCAAAAAGTCAAAAAGTTACTAAATTAGCCAAAAAGCCAACAACCCATACCAAAAAGTCAAAGATTCTCTTTTCTCTCTACTTTTTGCACATCTTTTCGTAAAAAGCCAAAAAGTCATTCCAAACATATTAATTTTTTTTAGCTCATATTTTAGCCAAATAGCCAAAAAGTTACTAAATTAGTCTGTTCCCAAACGAGGCCTTAATCAAACATTAATTGGCTAGATTGTTGTCTTGCCCCAGTAAGTCTAATTAACCAGGTAACTGCTTTATAATGCTTTGCCTTCTATCCTCCACAGTGTAAACGTTTTTGCAACAACAAGAATGCTATTAAGGGTGCTCAAGAAACTACTCTTTTTCGTTCAAAAAAAAAAAAAAAAAAAGCCAAAACAAAACAAAAACTACTCTTTTAAATGGACAAAAGATATATATATATATATATATGTATATGAGTATTTTATAATATGAACAGGCAATGCATATTATGCTTGATTGTTGCCTTGCCTCAGTCTCCCCTCATCACTCCATCTTTAGCATCTTCTTTGCACCATGCCAAAGCCTCAAAATTATTCACTAAAGCTGTGTTTAATTCATGGATTGGATTTGAGCAGGGATATAGAAATAGAAAGGAAAAGGAGTGTAAAAATTAAAATATAGGTGAAATATAATTATATTTCCATTCCCATTTCACATACATTTTTACTTTCTATTTCCAAATCCATGAACCAAATATAGCATAATGGAATCCCTTATATGGAATTGGAATTTTTCTTTGTCATTTTTTGTCCTTTCTCTTTTTGCTTTGACACGATGAATTAAGAGCAATCTTACATCTACTTAAACTCTTACTAACAACATACACGTTTTGACAATTTTGAGCCATTTGAGCCACAAAAATTGTTCCCTCTACCATTGCCCTTCTAATAAAATTTCTAAACTTGATTCGGGTACGCGTTTATGTTATGCCTCTAAGTAATTTCACAAATTATTGTACTTCAATCTTCACTTATCAACAAAAGTCTTTCTTCAACTTATTTCAAATAAAGAAAGAAAATCAAATAAAGAAAATTGAATTTAATTATATATATATATATATATATATGGAGAGAGAGAGAGAGAGAGAGAGAGTTGATTTAATCACTCACCTGAAAGTGTGTAAGTTTGGAGAGCTAAAAACTGGAGAATATAAAAATTAACCAAGTCTGGATTCTTGTTGGAGCTGAATCAATCGTGGTCTCAAAGAAAGAAACGTTGATCGAAACGCACTTGCGTTTCTTTTTGGGGTTAAAAGTGTTTCTGTTTTCTCTTCTTTTGACCATTCGGGAGAGGCAAAAACGACTTGAATGCTGGAAAGAAACGGGGAGTTTCGTTTCTTTTCGTTTCTTTCCCAGGAAGGGTTTGTCAATACCTAAACTTCGTTGGGCACATTAATAAAAACAGAAGAATAATGTAAGAGATACAAAATTTTCTCTTAAATGAATGATTTTATCTTTAGTAGTTAGAAATTATTTTTAAAAATTTAAAAATATTTTTTTGATATTTATTTTTGTCAAATTAATTTATATTTTATTAAATTGATGATTTTGTTTTTGAAAAATCTAATAGTATCTACAATTGTCCTTATTTAGAACAAGATTCAAAATTCAGAGCCAAATGTGTCACAATTGAAA